ACATTGTGAAGTATGAGTATTCCGGAACACTTAATTGTGCTCATGAGGAATCTGTACCTGGACCAATAAGGAATCTGTACCTGGACCAAGAACAGAACATGGGAACACTGAATGTTTTAAAATTTAAAAAGGTGTGTGACAGTTTGTATTCTTTCACCATACTTATTCAACCTATATGCTGAGCAAATAATCCGAGTAGCTGGGTTCTATGAAAAAAAGATGGCATCATGATTGGAGGAAGACTCTTTTTAACAACCTGCAATATGCAGATGATATAAACTTGCTTGCTGAAAGTGAAGAGGACTTAAAACATTTACTGATGAAGATCAAAGACTACAGCCTTAGGTATGGATTACCACTGGACCAACAAACAACATTCTTATCAATGGAGAAAAGATTGAAGTTATCAAGGACTTCATTCTTCTTGGATCAACTATCAACACTCATGGAAGCAGCAGTCAAGAAATCAAAGGATGTATTGCATTAGGCAAATCAGCTGCACAAGAACTTTTTAAAGTGTTGAAGAGCAAAGATGTCAGCTTGAGGACTAGGGTACACCTGACTCAACTCATGCAAAAGCTGGACAGTGAATAAGGAAGACCATAGAAGAATTGATGCTTTTGAGTTATGTTGTTGGAGGAGTATATTGAAGGTGCCATGGGCTGCCAAAAGAACCAATAGATTTGTTTTGGAAGAAGTGCAGCCAGAGTGCTCCTTGGAGGCCAAATGGCCAAACTTTGTCTCTCATACTTCGGACATATTATCAGGAGGGACCAGTCACTGGAGAAGGATATCATGTTTGGTAAAAGTGGAGGGTCAGAGAAAATGAGGAAGACCCCCAATGAGATGGATTGGCCAAGTGGCAACATCAATGGACTCAAGCGTGGCCAACAGTAATGAATTTGGCCCAGGATTGGGCAGTGGTTCGTTCTGCTGTGTATAAGGTCGCTATGGGTCAGTACCGACTCGATGGCACCTGACAACCACAACAACCCTCTAGATTGTGAATAATTACCCCTCCCCATTTCCCCATAATCATCATAGATTGTTTATCAAGAAAACCTTTTTTTTTTTTTTTCTAACTTTTTACAATGTTGATCTCATACGACATTTGTCCTTTAGTGATTAACTAATTTCACTCAGCATAATGTCCTGGTGTGGTGCTGTGCGTTTGAATTGCAAGGTCAGTGGTTCAAGCTTACCAGCTGCTTCTCGGAAAGCCTATACAAGGTCGCTATGGGTCGGAATCAACTCGACGGCACTTAACAACAAATATTCTCCAGGTTAAACCATGTTGTGAGGTGTTTCACAGATTCATCATTACTCAGTGTTTTGTAATATTCCGTTGTGTGTACGTACCAAAGTTTGTTTAGCTATTCTCTGCTGATGGGCATTTAGGCTGTCTCCATCTTTCTTTAAGTCTGTTTATTGCCTTCACGTAGAAGGACAAAGCTCTGGTGTGTGTCAGGGCAATATGGAGTTGGGATTTGCAATTTTGTCACACTATGAGCAGACTTCATATTAAAGTGAAAATAGATTCGGAGAAAAGTTTGCTTACTCTGGGGCCTACCAGTGTCTTCTCTTAACTTTTCCCTTTCTGGTTTCCCCTCCCCTGAGTTATAAAGCCACCCCAGTGCACAACAGGGTAGGGTGCAATTTGGCAAGTGTACTATTTAGCCTGTCATCACAGCAGGAAACCTGATAGGCATCTGGGGCCCAAGTCAGAGCTAATAATAACTTACACGTTTGCCCTGTTCCCTCTCTGTGCACGTCTCTCAGAATCTGTAGGGGGAATGCAAAATAGGCAGCTGGTCAGAATCTCCTAGAACTGGGATTTCTCTTTTCCCAAGAAATAGAACTAACCATAGCTTATGCTGTTGTTGAGTGCCGTCAAGTTGGTTCTGACACAAAGCGACACTGTATAGGGTTTCTGGGGAGGGGCTGGCGAGTTTAAACTGCCACTGTGGCTCAACCTGTCCTTGCAATCAAGTGCTTATCTTACATTGCCACACCAGAACTTACTAACAAATAAAAATACTGACCAAGTTAAAATCCAAACTGGTTTCAAAATTAAACCATACAACATGCAAGCAAGTATAGAGCTGGAGGTACACACAAGGTTAGAAGACTGCAGTACAGAACAGGGAGGATAGATGGGTTAGATTTTTAAAATATACCTACAGTAACTGCCTAACCTGCATATGGACTCCTGGTGTGGTGCTATAAGCACTGGATTGCGAACCACAAGGTAGGAGTTCAAACCCACTAGCTGCCCCTCAGAGACCCTATATTGGGTCGTTCTGAGTAGGAACCAACTCGATGGTACTTAACAACAACAAACCAAACCGAATGCTACTGATTTAATTCTGACTGATAGCAGCCATATATAGGGTTTCTGAGACTTGAATCTATATGGGAGCAGATGACCTTATCTTTCTCCTATGAAGTGTCTGGTTGGTTCGAACCACCAATCTAACAGGTGGTAACCCAACACATTCCTCAGCACCACCAGGGCTCCTTATTTATATGTATGGTGGTGGTGGTTTGTGCCATTGGGTCAATTCTGACTTATAATAACCCTGTACAGGGTTTCTGAAGCTGTAAATCTTTATGGGGTCATGAAGCTTCACTGTTCTCCCACAGAGCAGCTGGTGGATTCAAACTGCTGACCTTGCGATTAGCAGCCCAATGCATAATCCACAATGCTAAGACAGCATAAAGCTATGCTTATGCAATGTGCTTATATGACTTGTTTATATATATGGCAATAATGTATTGACTTACAAAGGTAAGTCAAAAAGTGTTGCTACTTGGGTTTCCAGTTCTTACAGGGACAGGTTTATGCCAAACACAGCACGTTTAAACGTGTGTCTGCAGTCAGTGGATGACTGTAGACAGTTGTCTTAGTCTCTCTAGGATGCCTTCAAAAAACAGGTCCAATCAAAACAGTGCCTTCTGAAGGGATCTGCTGGACCCATTCAATTCAATTCAGAGAGGTCAGCACAGAAGGTTATGGCTACTGATTTTTGGAATTCCCAAGGGGTCATGTTGATAGATTTTCTTACAGGACATAGGATGATGACAGGAATATAGGATAATTAGGAAGACATTTTAAGACAATTGAAAAGTGCTTTGGTGAGAAAAAGGCCAGCAATGTTGTACGAAGGACTTTTTTTTTCCATCACTACAATTGACCTATTCATTCTAGCAAGGGCTGTCCTGTGAGAATTTCATTGGGAAACTTTACTCCATCCACTACCGCCTGATCTTGCCCCTTTCAACTACTTTTTGTTCCGCAAACTCAGAGAACCTTTAAAAGGAATCCCTCAAAGATAGCTAACCTCCTGTTTTGACATACTATACTCAAAGAGTGAAGAATTCTTTGGGGAAGAATTTGAGAGATGGAAATATCGCCTGCAGAGTGTACAAATCTAGATAGAGGATATTATCAAGAAAGAATGTCTTCACATTTTGATATTTTTGTTTAGTAAAGGATTTTGTGCCAATACTTAAAAAAAAAAACAAAAAACTTTTTATTGTGAATTAGGTGACGTTTAACAGACAAGATCATCAGCTTTACATTCAACAAATTATATGCTTTATTTCATCTCAATGATTACAATCTCCTCCGGCAACAGCTATCCTTCCTCCCTGTGCCTTCCCTTTTACATCTTATACTTCACAAATGAACAAAGCAAAATATTTGATGTATACATACAAAATAAAATATATTCATTTAAATGTCCAAAAGGCACATTCTGCCAGTCAGCCTCCTGTCTGCAGGCACACAGCCGTACTAAGTTCATGGACCTATAGCAAGCAGCTGCTTTTCTCTCTCCATGTCTTCAACTCTGCAACCGTCTCTGTTGTCGCCGCTTTTGTAGTACCAATACTTTATAATGGACCCTCTTATATGTAAATATATTGTGGTTAAGTGCTATTGAATCAGTTCTGACTCATAGCGACCCTGTGTAGGGTTTCCAAGGAGCAGCTGGTAGGTTTGAACCACCAACCTTGTAGTTAGCAGTCCAATGCTCATCCTATAGCGACACACCAGGATTCCGTATGTAAATACATGCAGCATAAATATAAGTATGTGATATATATGTGTACATATACATTTATACTCATACCATATTTTCTCTTGGTTGTTATTATGACTCATATTTTACCTTAATATTTCTGTTGTTGTTGTAAAGTGCCGTTGAGTCGGTTCCGACCCATAGTGACCCTCAACAGGGTTTCCGAGGCTGTAAATCTTTACGGGAGCAGAAAGCCTCATCTTTCTCCCACGGGGCAGCTGGTAATTTCGAACTGCTGACCTTACGGTTCGCAGCCCGATTCGTAACCACTACACTACCAGCAGCTTCTAGTGGCAAATAAATCTAAATACATTTTTTATTTCTCTCTTCTGGTTTATATCATTCTGTTGATAAACATTTTATTCAATTTATGCCTGACACACTGGCTGTATTTTTTTTATCTGCATTAACTATAGACAGATAATACCCTGGCTACAGTTGAGTTCTCTGAGATCACATGTAACCCAAGACCCTGGAACATTCTGTCCCTTTATTCTTTACTTCCTCTATCTTCTACTTTATCTATAAGATATCAATTGAAAGCAAGATTAGAGTAAATGTGGTACATATGTATACATATGTGAATATACGCTGTAATATATTATTTATATTTAACTACACGTGTGAACATTATTCTCTTTTTCTGTCATAATGCACCATACGCTATGTGTATACATACCTTCATATTTGTTATACAAGCATTTTGTTGTTGTTGTTGTTAGGTGCCATCGAGTTGGTTCTGACTCATAGTGAGCCTATGCACAACAGAATGAAACACTGCCTGGTCCTTGGCCATCCTCACAGTTGCTGTTAAGCTTGAGCCCATTGCTGCTGCCACTGTGAATACTTAGTACATTTCAGTAATCTATTTCATACATTGGAGTCCTGGTGTGGTGCTATGGGTTAATGTGCTGGACTGCAAAGTTGGTTCAAGGTCACCACCCACTCCTCAGAAACCTTATGCAGGATCGCTATGGGTCAGAACTGACTTGACGGCACTTAACAACAACTTCATACATTATCTACCTTTATGTCTTACTCACTGTTGCATTCCCTTTAGAATACCAGGATTTCAACAGCAGCACAATCAGCACAAGGTTATGTTGAGCTACACTGAACCAGGCTTGGAATCAAGTGTGAACTGTTTCTGGATGTTTCTGGTGGTGTATAAAGCTACCTTTCACAGACCAACATCTATCATGGTCAAATGATCAGCGTGTATTTTGTGTGGCATATGGCTGTGTGTCAGAGTGTGAGGCTATGAATTTGGGTATGGTAGTATTTGATGCTGGTGAGGTAGACAGGACTGCACAATTTTTGTTTGCTAATCTAATGAAGGTTTTTGGCTTTTATTTTTAGTTCCTTGAGAAGATGTACATCAGGAAAAAATGTAAAAGCGAGCATAATAAGATTCCTATAAAACAGTCAACAAAACTAACTGAAGCATAAAAGAATCTTGGGAAGATGGTTAGACACTTATAGTTGTTTTTGAATTTACTACATACTTGACTAATTCTCTTACTCATTTTAAACACTGAACAGAATTTATGATGAGTGTGGGACTATGGCCATTCTACTTGGACTCAGCAGCATCCATAAATGGATCACCCAATGCTTACAAACATTTGTCAATGATCTTCTTCATTTAGCCAATGTTTCATATCAACTATGATATTAATTAATAATCTTCTCACATTTTTGTAGCATTTTGAATCTGACATAGTTATGTCAATTATTTATAAATAACAGATAAAACAATGAATAAAAACAGAATCATTCGATTTCATTTTTCCAGTGTATTATTTTCCTGGGTTTTAAATGAATACTACTTCTTCTCCACCATGACTTCTGGTTTTGATCCGTCAGTGATGACTCATCAATTCACTGACACTACCATTCTTGTTTTCTAATTATTCAAGTTGTATGAGCAGTGGTGCTATAGGATAAGCACTGGACTGAAAGGTTGAACCACAAGGTCAGTGATTCAAACTCACCAGTTGCTGCTCCTCAGAAACCTTATACAGGGTCGTTATGAGTTGGGACTGACTCAACAGCACTTAACAACAACAACATGAGAAATCCACAATGGCTTGGTGACACTCTCAGCTTTAAATTCAATGGAATTTTTATTATTTCCTGGTGGTGAACCTTCTCCCCTTGGATATCAAAATTTTAAATAACCAAAGCCCAACTAAGGGGCTAAAAAGCAACAGTTCTGCAAGTGTTCTACCCAATGTCATCTGTGATTCTCAGATCCATGTATTCCGACTGGGAGGAAAAGCACCATTTGCTGTTTCTGGTGCAGAATGAATACCGCGTCTGGAAGGACAGAACCTATCCTTTAAAGGTATTATCACCCAATTGGTGCAAGGGACAAGTCGTTATTAGACTTTCTATGAGGCAAAACCCACCCCTTGTCTGTCAGTTTCTAGTACTGTGGTGGCTTGCATGTTGCTGGGTGCTAAAAGCACTGTCACCAGTATTTTGAATACCAGCAGGGTCACCCACGGTGGACAGGTTTCAGCTCAGCTTTCAGACTGAGACTAGAAAGAGAAGAAGACTACTTCTGAATGTTTGTTATTGTTGTTGTGTGCTGTGGAGTTGGTTCTGACTCATAGCGACTCTGTATACGATTTCTGAGTCTATAAATCTTTACAGGAGCAGAAAGCCTCATCTTTCACCCATGGAATAGCTGGTAGTTTCAAACTGCTGACCTTGAGGTTCGCAGCCCGATTTGTTACCACTATGCTTGAATGTTTAGCCCCTGAAAACCTTAAGAATAAAAGCAGAACACTGACAGTTATAATGCCCGAAGAAGAAAACATGATGAATAGCACCACAATAGAGCCATATATGCTCACCCTCAGGTGAGAGGGCACTCAAAATATGACTGGGGAAGAGCTGCCTCCTCAAAGTCAAGTGATCATAATCATGACGTGAATGGAGTAAAGCTTCTGGCACCTTCATTTGTGTAAAGTAAAGCTTTGGGCCACAACTCAAAATAAGGAGAAACAGTTGCAAACATTAATAATCAGAACATGGAATGTACCTAGTATGCATTTGGAAAATTGGAAGTGGTCAAAAATGAAATAGAAGACATGGATTGATATTCTAGGTAGCAGTGAACTGAAATGGTCTGGTATTGGCCATTGTGAATCAGATAATCACATGGTTTACTATGCCAGAGATGAGAATTTCAAGAGGAATGGCATCCCATTCATTATCAAAAAAGAACATTTCAAGATCTACCTTGAAGTGCAACACTGTCTGTGATAGGATACTATCCATATGCCTACAAGGGAGACCAACCACTATGATTCAAATTTACACACCAACCAATAAAACCAGTGATGATGAAATTTAAGAATTTGACCCACTACTTCAGTCTGAAATTGATTAAATATACAATTAAGAGGTATTGATAATTACTGGTGACTGGAATGTGATGAAGCTGGAAACAAAAAGGCTCAGGAGTTGGAAAATATGGTCTTGATGACACAGAAATGATCATAATTCTGGAGATTACATGATTGAATTTTGCAAGACCAAAGAATGATTCAATGCAAATACTTTTAAAGAATATAGAAGGCAAATATACAGATGGACCTCACCAGATATAATACAGAGAAATCAAATAGACTGCCTCTGTGGGAACAGATGGTGGAAACACTCAATATCATCAACCAAAACAAGGCCATGGCAGATTGTGGAACAAATCAACAACTGCTCATATGCAAGTTCAGATTGAAGCTGATAAAAATTAAAGCAAGTTCATGAAAGCAAAATATGACCCTGACATAGCCCACTTGAATTTAGAGACCATCTCAAGAATAAGGTGGATGCATTAGACACTAAAGACCGAAGACAAGAAGTGTTATGGGAAGATATTAAGAACATCATGGTACTGAAGGCAAAAGTCCAAGCTGCACTGAGGCATTGGCAAAAAATTCTAAGAATTATGGAATACAGGTGTTTGCAGCTGCTGCTGCACTGCCAGCATAGTCTCTAGCTTACCGAGCACCAGCAAAAGGAGAAGCGGGGTAAGTGAGCAGGTCACACAAAGCAGACTGCAAATCAACCTGTGAGAAACCACCCAAGAAGGTGTAGGGCCAAAGAGAAGAATTCATGTCGGATATAAGCTTTAGCACGTCCTGTAGCTCCAAGAAAATGATATGTATATATAAATAGCCAGGCAGCTCAAGGCCAGATGTTTTCCTTTACCCTAGCCTAAGAACAAAGACCACCAGTCCTGACCAATTAAACTGTAACATCTCATAGTTTGCCAATTGTTAACCAATCCAAAGACTGTAAAGCTGAGAAACCCAAGCTTGTTTGAAAACTCTATAAAAACCCTGCAGACAAAGGGTTCGGGGCTCTATCCCTAATCCGCTGCAGCGGATGAGGTGGAGTCCAGGCTCGAGCTTGAATAAACAACCATTATGTATTTGCATCAGTGATGGCTCCTTGGAGGCCTTTGGGGACCCCGAATTCTGGGCATAACAAAGGAACTGGCTACAAGAGCTGCTCATAAGAGTGCACCCTCTACTGGAGGGGTGAAGAAATCTCTTTGTTATAGGCCTGTGGTGCTTTGTGAAATTAGACGTTTTCAGAAGTCCATCGAATTTCTGATTCGTAAACTTCCCTTCCAGCATCTAGTGAGAGACATTCCTCAGGACTTCAAAACAGATCTGCACTTCCAGAGTGCAGCTATTGGTGCTTTGCAGGAGGCAAGTGAGACCTATCTGGTTGGGCATTTTGAAGACACCAACCTGTATGCTATCCATGCCAAATGTGTAACAATTTATGCCAAAAGACATCCAGCTAGCATGTCACATACGTGGAGAACATGCTTAAGAATCCACTATAATGGGAAACATTTCATTCTTATATATATAAAAAAAAAAAAAAAAAATTTCTTCTTCGTGTTATTGGTAGTTCTGAACATCAGATTTTTTTCACCCCATGGGGTCAAAAGGTACCTAAATATATGATTGTGAATGGAAAAATAGGGGACAGATAACAGGTATTGGCAGTTTTTAAAATTTTCATTTGTGTGAAGTTTAATATAAATGTTGCACTGTGTGCTAAAGTGTCAGACTGCAAAGTCTTTTGAACTGCAAGGTCGGTGGTTCAAGCACACCAGCTGCTCCTTGGAAATCCTATACAGGGTTGCTATGTGTCAGAATTGACTCTATGGCACTTAACAGAAAAAACAACAAAGCATTAATGCAAATCAGAATGTTTCCATGAACAAGTTTCAGCAGTTCAACTTTTAACAATTATAAATTGTTGTTGTTGTTGTTGTGTGCCATGGAGTCGGTTCCGACTCATAGTGACCCTGCACAGGATTTCTGAGGCTGTTAATCTTTACGGGAGCAGAACGCCTCATCTTTCTCCTGCGGAGCAGCTGGTAGTTTCGAACTGCTGGCCTTGCAGTTCGCAGCCCGATTCGTACCCGCTAATGAACTTGGAAAAATCCCAGAATTATGGACTACAAATGGAATCTTTCAACAAAATGGTGAAGCACTGGAAGTGCTCACTCACTTATGCCAAGAAATTTGGAAGACAACTACATGGCCAACTGATTGAAAGAGATCCATATCTGTGCCTATTCCAAAGAGAGGTGGTCCAACGGAATGAGGAAATCATTGTACAATATCATTAGATCACTTTCAGGGAAAATTTTGCTGAAGATAATTTAAAAACAATTGCAACAATACATTGACAGTGAACTGCCAGAATTCAAGCTGGATTCAGAAGAGAGCATGGAACAAGAGATATTGATGACTTATGCATGCTGAATGAAAGCAGAAAGATGTTTACTTGTGCTTTACTGATTATGCAAAAGGCTTTCAATTTGATGGATCCTGACAAGCTATGGGTAACATTGCGAAGAATGGGTATTCCAGGATACTTATTTGTGCTCACGAGGAACTTAATTGTGCTCATTAGGTACACAGACGAATAGGCAGTTGTCAAAACAGAACAATGGAATAGCAAATAGTTTTAAAACAGGAAAGGTGTGCACTAGGGTTACATTCATCCACCATATTTATTCAATCTGTATGCTGAGCAAATAATCTGAGAAACTGGATTATATGAAGAAGAACCTGGCATCAGGAAGGCAGATTGATAGAGGAAGATCATTAACAACCTGTGATATGCAGATGATACAACCCTGCTAGCTGGAAGTGATAAGTATTTAAAATATTTACTGATGAAGATCAAAGGCCACAGCCTTCAATATGGATTCCACCTCAATGTCAAGAAAACAAAAATCCTCACAACTAGACCAATAAATAACATTATGATAAAAGGAGAAAAGATTGAAGCTGTTAAAGACTTTATTTTTCTTTGATCCACAATCAACACTAATGGACACAGCAGTCAAGAAATCAAATGGCATATTAAATTAGGTAAATCTGCTGTACAAGACCTCTTTAAAGTAT